GGGCTAAGGCTCGGCATACCCAGTGGTCAGGACCCACCGGGCCAGCGGTGGGTCAGATAGCCTCCCTTAGGTCCTAGCCGGAGGACTAGGATAGCGGTAGACGTGTGAGTCCCGCCAGGTCTGGAGGCTGTACCTCCCTAGGGTATCGGGTGAGGGGACCGAATATCCCTCTGTGTGTGTTAAGCGATGTATAAGGAAATAATACAATAAACAGGGTGTGCCTCCTAAAGAAGTCTGCTCGTCCTTACAACATTACACATATGCAATCCCTACTTTGGGGTAACCGCTCATTGAAAATGGGAGGTTTGGGAATTCACCGGCCCAGTTGGAAAACGACTTCTTTACCAAGGAAATTCAAAAAGCTACGGGTGCACCACGATATCCCACAGTAACATGTCTTCAGATACCTACAGATCAGGGATGCCATCACCAAGCCCCGGACAAGAATCTGGATGATTCTGCCAATCCCATCCTGAACTGGCTGGTAGAGAAAAGGAAAAATTACAGTCTGGCAGAGGCATACAACCTGATTGTTGGAGATGGGGACCGGATACGACTTAACATTATATTTGGGGAAAGGCTAACAGGACAAGACAATCCCTAATATAAGTGGACCCGGATATGGTCAGCCCGAGCTACAGGCCCCATATTACTGCCGCTGAAACTCATCCAGTTTAAATGAATACATGGGACCTATGTGACTAACGGCAGTAGAGCCAAATTCACCAACTCTTCCCCAGACTACCATAAATGCCGAAAGCACATAGTTCAGACGTACCTAAATGTCTTCTGGACATGCCCAGCTATTTATCAATTTTACCACGACATTGATTATATGATTTCAAGATCAGCAGTCTTCATACTGAAACCATTTACTTGATGAAGCAGGTTAGGGAACCCAGCAACATGACCTGTTTCGTTACAGTTATGCTTCAGGAAATTTCGATTCATCCTCACCCTGATCTCAGAAACACCGAGACAGGACTGAAACAGCAGCATCAATACCAGGCTTACTTTGTAGATATATCTGGGTGTCAGCATAAAAAATAAAATTCAGACCATGACGAAGGAAAATGCTCCCAAGTGGCAACAAATATCGATTTAAAGCTTTCGTGACTGCAAGGATTCATCTTCTTTGGTTCTTTCGGTAAAGTCACGTAGAATGAGAATAAAATAATAAATTGATAAAATAAAATAACACAATAATATTCTCACGACGTTTCGGCCACAACACAAGCAGCCTTCATCAGGTGAATGGACGAGACTGTCTGGTAGGACAGCGCTGGAGTGAAAAAGCCACGCTCAGATCATGACCTTTAAGCTGTGTGAGAAGAAACAAAGCGCCTTGACAAAGGAATTAGCATATAATTTAGCATTGAAATGGCTGAGTGATTAGCTTGTGACTGGTCACAGAAATGGATATGTTAAAGCATACACATCTGCAGAGGCACCCCTTGACAAAGGGGTGCCTCTGCGGATGTGTATACTTTAACTTAGCTATTTCAATGAGCCATTTCAATGCTAAATTATATGCTAATTCCTTTGTCAAGGCGCTTTGTTTCTTCTCACACAGGTTAAAGGTCGTGATCTGAGCGTGGCTTTTTCACTCCAGCGCTGTTCTACTAGACAGTCTCGTCCATTCACCTGATGAAGGCCGCTTGTGTTGTGGCCGAAACGTCGTGAGAATATTATTGTGTTATTTTATTTTATCAATTTATTATTTTATTCTCATTCTACGTGACTTTACCGAAAGAACCAAAGAAAATGGCAACAAATAGATGACAAAAAAACAAAGGCCCTAAAATAGACCTCTGGTGGACACCAGTGACAACTGGCCGAGTTTCAGATACATGGCTCACTAACGTAACAAACTGTTTCCGATCAGTCAGATAGGAGCTAAGCCAGGAAAAAGCTGCACCACTGATGTCAACCAGGGTCTCTATGCGCTTGAGCAGAATATGATGCTAATTGCATTGAATGCTGCACCAAGATCCAACAGCACCAGGATCGAAAGCCCGAATCAGCAGTCATGAAAATATCATTGACCACCTTAACAAGTACTGTCTCATTACTGCAGTGGCCTAATCGCAAACTAAAATGGCTTAAAGAGGTTGTGATTTGTAAGATGAACCGGTAACTGCTGTACTACCACACGTTCCAAGATTTTTGACAGAAACAAGAGGTGTGAAATCGGCCCATAGTTTAACATAACATTGGAGTCAAGACCTGGCTACTTTAATAATGGTGAAATTGAAGGCAGTTTAATTGACACAAGCAAGTCTCCAGTAAAAAGAGAGGTATATATTAAGAAACCAATGGACACAGAACCCAGGACACTAGAACGTCGTCTTTAGTTTAGAAAAATGATCACAACATTGAGATGGTGAAGATGGGGTAAAGCGACTTAATACAGAGCCCGAGAACACACAAGAAGAGGTCAACTGAGGCTCGGTGACAACAGGGCAAACAACATTACTCCGAATTAAATCAATCTTGGACTGAAAAGACGCCAAAAAACATTACATTGAGCATTGTAACCAGTGTGGTTAACACTCGTGGATGATTTCCGCATCTGCTCCAGGGTACAGAAGAGAGTTCTAGGTTTACCAGTACCTTTATTAATGAGACTTGAATAAAACCATGATCTGGCCTTATTTAATGCATCCCGATAAATGAACTGTTTCCAGATCTGGCGCTTAACCTCAAGGTTTGTGTCCTTCCGTCTGCGTACTAACTTACGTCCTCGTGACTTCAGACAACGGAGATGGTCATTCTACCAAGGCAATCGATGGGCATAGTATCAACACGTGTCTTGAGTATAGCCAGAGCTTTCAGTGCATTATATAGAATTAAGCTGTACAGACTGACCATGTCATCCAGACTCGAATATTGAAAGTAGTGTCAGCAAATAAGGACATACATACACGCACGCGAATGGAAAACACACACCCACCACCACCACAATCTGCTGCTAGAAATGTCCTCGTCATAAGTCACTTCATTGAGCTATAATTTGTGATAGGCAGTCGTTTCTGAAAAAGAGCTATATAGCTCAGTGGGCCTTACATGGTAAAATACAAAATAGTTTCGTTTCATAATTTCCCACAGGGCACGGTGCAGACATACTTGCACAAATTCTGGACATGCCCTGATATCTCAAGTTTTTACCATATTACAGACTACTTTAACAGGATGTGGCACAGCGGTGAGGACTTCAGTGGACTCAACGCTGTGGGGCTTAAAATCAAAATGAGCATCCAAGCACCAGCATTCTCTACTCCAGACCTTCTATGTAGTGGCAAGGAAAACTATTCTGGCCAACTGGAAAGACCATGAACCCCCCCCCCCCGCCTCCTTGGGGACTGGCATAGAACTCTCCTCTCCCTCATAATGAAGGTTTTGGGTTAGATCGTGTGAATTTAAATGTCAAATCCACCACCACCCGACACAGCCAATTAGTAAGGTTAAAACAAAATGTGCCAATTAGTTACTTCAGCACACCGGTGTGTGGGAGAGTAAACCCACATTTACAATTTCAGTATGACGTTTCGATGCTAATTACAATCAGCTTCTATTCTATTTTGTATTCATAAAGCACTTTTCAGCAACGTGCTTCACAATGCTTACTCACTACAGCACAAAAAGGCAAGATAATGGATGGGCATCGGGCAGTCACTCGGGTGGAGGGAGCAAGTTGGAGGCTGCGGGAGTGGAGGCATTAATGGCGTTAGGTGGTGCTGGTAGGGGTAGCGGAAGAGGAAGGGAAAAGGCAAGAGAAAAGAGATAGGACTTGAGGGCAGTGCGAAATGAGGAAAGCGAGGGGGAGAGTCTGATGTGGATGGTGAGAGGGAGTTTATTCCAGTCTGAGGAGACCAGCAGTGAGGAGTAAAGCGATTTGATTCAGATTTTATAAACTTCACTCCTTCATGGAAGTGTTTCCACAGATCCCAAATCCCTCATAAAGCGTACACTAATGCCTTATGCATTTTTATAATTTGAACCTGCGAATTGCAATTTATTAACACTGACAAATATTTTGGGCCAGATGTATAAATATTGCACATCACGTGCTGCTCTTGAAGAAAATAAAAAGATGTATTAATGCGGTTAGTCCTATCTTACTGAAATAAAATGTCTCGATCAATGGTGCCCACTCACAATCCATGGAAATAACAATACGTGCTCCCCAGCGCCCTACACTGGGGGCCGTGTTGGTGTTTAATCTCGTAATTAATTGGCACACAAAAGACATACATTTCCAACACTCACCTGGATGGTGATGATATAATACTGTACTACAGTACGAAACATGCCACTGATCTGATTAATCTGTTTTCAGATTTGAATAACATAGAACACTATCCCACATAATATAATTACCGATGGCATAAAATGTAATCAATCATTAATGGCAATAAAGCCGTCTGCATGGTACTGGTTTGGAGGCAAAGGCTGGCTTCCACGAGTGATCAACAAAAAAATTACTTCACAATCTCATGAAAATGTCAATGAATGTTACTATGTTCGTGTATGGGTTGATCCGCAACTTTTTTTACAGTGTCCGCCGTGATAAACATCAGATGTAGACTTGGTATATTTATACTGAAAAAGCAACTACGGTACAGTATGTAAATAGTTGCTTTTTTATAATAACACTAGCGGGAAGCACCCGGTGTTGCCCGGGGGAAAAATGTATTGAAAAACTTCTCAAAACTTAAAAACATAACATATACAAATGAAAAAAAAACTTTGATCATTACCTCATTAATAAAAATTAAAATAAAACCCAACGCGTGGTGGAAAAAAAACTTGCGCTCGCGCGCCAAGATTCGATTATTTAGATCGCGCAAAGGAATCGAAGGTTGTAGATTCTTTAGAATCGGCCTATTCCCGTTTAATCGATACCGCAAACGCTCACCAGATATCGATTCTCGCCACACTTCATGGTCATTCCCCCCCACCCCCAAAATACAAAAGTAAAATTTGTATACGTTTTACATTGTGTACAGTTTGTTGCATGTCGGGAAGTACGCTAAACATTTTGAACAGACATACATTCACGAATTTCCCTTATATATAGATTATATAATATAATAAATAACATTCTAATTTTACATTCCCGCTTAGCGCTTTGGCGGTCTTGTTCGTGTTTTTGACACTATATTATAGACTGTGTACATGTTTACTGTTTGAGTCATACATTCTAAAATGTGTCACTTGACAATCTGAACCCCCTTTCAGCGTTGGCCCCCGACAACCTGTAACGAGATGTTTACGCTTTCAAGGAATCATAAAGGTAAACTATTTTCATAGATAACGAGGACGATGTTGAAAATGAGACACAAAGAAAGCAACGGCATTGTTAAAGACAGTGGAAGCAAGCTTATCCGTATGTGGAGGGACAGAATGAAGTTCTGCATTATATGTTTATGAACATACAAAGAGACATGCCCTGGAAGCCGACACCACATCCAGAATGAAAACTTAAAACTCCGCCCCTGTCGCCTTGTGCGCTGAGCAGTTTCACAACCCGATTTGTGCGCGCCGGTGTTCGCGGACTTTACAAGGAGCCTTTTATTCAAATAACAACAGTGATTTTGAGATCTAATACTAGCACACGATAATACAAAGACACATAAACACAAACACATCACACAAACACACATCACACGGAAGGAGAGACCACCGCTTCGAGATCCAGGGTTTGACCGTCAGCTGCCTTCGCGGACCGAAGTGAGTCAAACCATTGTGCGCGGTACAAAACGAAACTAGAGGGATGTGTCATCGTAAAACGACGGTTCTGTTCAAATACTGAGGATCAAGTTTTAATAAGCGATGAGTGAGTGGTGCCGATTGCTATAGTGATCAGGGTAGACGTTGGGTAATTGACAGTGCGAGTTTAATTAATCGAGTTGTTGAAAAAAAGTTAAGTCGTGGGGTGATTGCTTGAGCCGATGCGAAATTACACAATCATATATATGACGGAAGAATAACCGGCGTCCTGGTGGAGAATACGAATAAAGTTAATCATCATACAATACGAACGCTGTATTAAGCAGCTCTTAATGTACACTGAATGGATTCCCAAACTCAACATGTAGCTGTGACGATTTTTTCGCTTGTTTTTCAAATTTTCGAACGAATGAGGAAGTGTGTACTGTAGCGTTACCCAACCACACACACGCATGTACACGCACACACTGAAACAAACTAAACGCCGCCGATATACACATAATACACACATGACGGAAAATACATTTACCACAACGTAATAATTAGCGTCGTTGTCAAGAATATACGCGAACTCGAAAGAGAAAAAAATCCCCTCCTTTACACATCTGTCCCTTCGCGTAAAAATAAAAGCATTGCTTGCACATCACATGCACATAAGACGACGTACATATCAAGACTAAGAATATTGCGTGAACCCCACATATTGTGTCTAGCACCAGCTGCGTTGTGCTGGCCACCCATCCCGCCTCGTGTGCCGCCACAGTTCAGGCCGTCATAGGCGCTGCTGCTCGATTCTGACAGCAATTGCCCCGACAGCCTGCTAGAGGCTGCACGTGGTGGAGGGGGGGGGGAGCTTTGTCGCCTTGTTAATATCCTTCAGGCGAAACAAACACAATTAATCCATCAGCTATTCACAGGAAGCCACCGAGGGGTCTTGTAAAAAATGCCACTCGACAGGCCGTTTTAAACACTCGACGTGCGTGTAAAGTGTGTTTTGACAACAGGCTACAACTGCTCGATTCACACGAGGAAGTTGCCAGGGCTCTGCCTGCCGCCGCACTGTGTACAGCAAGCAGCGCGCATTTGACTCCCCCCGCCACTCGCCCTGCACCGCCCTCGGGCCGGGGATTTCCACCAACTCGAGCACTTCCTCAAAGACGCACACACAAGACTAAGGTTAGCTTCATTATACACACATAGTCCGCTTGCCACAAATGAACCACAATACACCTCTGCTGATTTCGTCAGCAAGGAGCATAAACCATTAATCACGCGAACTCCGGTAATTATCGCAGCAGCAGCGGCGTTTGGCTCGGCCATCGATCAAAGACGGCAGTCACCGCATCGCCCGGCGCTTTCAGATGCGGGGTCTGCGGCCGTCTGGAACGCTCTTCCGATATTAGGAAGCCACTGGAGCTATGCACTTTTAAAACATCTAAAATTTAAACTCGTTTGTTTAAGACTGCTTTTTGTGTTTGGTGTGTTATCCTTCCCCCGCACCTCCGATTAGCACGGTTGGCTACGTAAGGAGCGAAAGAAGTTCACACATACATATTCTTTGGTTCTTTCAGTAAAGTCACGTAGAATGAGAATAAAATAATAAATTGATAAAATAAAATAACACAATAATATTCTCACGACGTTTCGGCCACAACACAAACGGCCTTCATCAGGTGAAGGGACGAGACTGTCTGGTATTATTTTATTCTCATTCTACGTGACTTTACCGAAAGAACCAAAGAAGATGAATCATTGCAGTCACGAAAGCTTTAAATCACATACATACTTTACCCATGTCCTTAACAGACTGTTTGGGCAAGTGCTGTTTGCGAGCCGGCAAACTGCACTGGCTACTCATGTGAGGCTGAGTCGACCTAGTGGAGGGCCATAACAGGCTTAGATAATTGCTGTCACCGTTGTTGGTGGCCGTGAGTAGGAATCGAACTCAAAAACAACATCCGCCGTTCACCACTTAGTGGCACTTGTGCCAGGCTAGGTGCACTTCGAGGCCACGTTAAGTGTCAAATGCCCGCTGGCAGGTCACATTTAGCTTTCCTGTACTCTGATCAATGTTGTGAGCGTTCGACTCATCACTTCAACCATTTTTATCAAATCCAACTGTTGTGTGAATGTATCTCCAACACTACCGGTACTGGTGGTGCTGAAGCGGTACTAAAGCGGCATGTTTGTTCATCTCGTGACAACTTTATATTAATTGGCTGTGTAGGGTGGAGGAGGGTTTCCATTTTTACTCACGCGATCTGACCCAAAAACTGTATGGATCATTTAACACGTAGGCTTTCGCGACCAATATTAGTCATAATGACGCTGTTTGGGTGAGGTCTAACTGATAAGCTGGCTAGCTTTTTAGAAAAACAAAAATTCCCGAATGAGATTTGGCACAGTGAAGAAAGACGAAAACTTCTATCTGTTACTAAAGATGAACTACCAAAGCTCTCAACAGAAGGCATTTACCGGATTACTTGCTCCTTGACGTGACAAAATATTAGCACGACTTAAAGAACACCAAAGGAATATCAAATACTCACAAAAACACAACTGTCGGCAGTTGCAGAACATACTTGCCAACAAGGACAAATATTGATTTTGATAACGTTGATGGTTTGTGTCAAACTAATTATTACTGGTCAAGACTGATTACAGAATATTTAAAATTAATGGAATGAAGGTAATTTCAACCCTCCTGGTGGCTTTAGGCTTAGTGCTGCATGGAAGCATATTTTTGAGTCATGACAGCAACACTAGTTAATGTACTTTAATTGAAATTGACACAGGATAGCTGTAATACTAACCATTTACTATTTTGCACACAACACACACCACATGCCATGCACAAAACATCCTTACCTTATTTAAAACAGACGCGACCATGTGCCAAGCACACAGCACAATATTGAAATAAACAAAAAAACTCAAGACAACCCGTGTCGTGCACACAACACAAACACCGTTAATGCTACACCGTTGACTATTCAATAAAACGAATAATCTCAGTATGTTTATTAACTGTGACTAACGTAACCGATTATGTGTATTTTGTCATATTAACATAATTTTTTTATATTCTTGGTTCTTTCGGTAAAATCACGTTGAAGGGAAACAATAAAATAATAAAATATATATAACAATACAATTCTCATCACACCTGATGATGACTGCTTGTGTTGCAGTCGAAACGTCGTGAGAATTTTATTGTTTTATATATATTTGATTGTTTCCCTTCAATGTGACTTTACACCTGATGATGACTGCCTGTGTTGCAGTCGAAACGTCGTGAGAATTTTATTGTTTTATATATGTTATTATTTTATTGTTTCCCTTCAACGTGACTTTACCGAAAGAACCAAGAATATGAATCACTGTAGTCACGAAAGCTTTAAATCAAAATATATATTTTTTTATGTTTAAAATAATACATTCACCACCCGTGGGTCCTTCTCACTTGTGAGCACACAGTGATAACATCACCACCCCCTATTTAAGAGCAACAAAACAAAGATGTTCGCATTTCTGGCAAAATTCCTGTTGTTTTAATCACCAAGAAAACGTGTACTACGTGTATTCAGTTGTAAACATCGTGAGTTTGCTCTGTAATTCTGGCAAGCATCTGTCATTTATTTTCATTTGGCTAGGGCAGGGGTCGGGAACCTGCGGCTCCCAGACAGCCAAATTAAATCTTTAAAAAAATTGAACGTGACAATAATATCACTTTCCCTATCACTTCCCCAACCATACCTTAACCAATCTGGTCTGTTCTGTCACTGTAATTACACCATCACTTTTAATAACAGCAACCCCACCACTATTCTTTGAGTCTTTCGGTAAAGTCACGTTGATAGGTTCAAAGAAAATAACAAAAAACTACGACGTTTCGATCACAACTCCTGATGACGATCACTTGAGTTGTGATCGAAACGTTGTAGTTTTTTGTTATTTTTTTGTTATTTTCTTTGAACCTATCTACATGACTTTACCAAAAGACCCAAAGAATATGAATTCCTGCAATCACGAAAGTCAAGATTTAACCCCACCACTCTTTATCTCAACCACTATCATCTTGCGTACAATTTTATAATCGCTGTTAAGCACCTTGGGAAAAGGTGCTGCCATTTAAATCTATATTAGATATGAAGATAAGAAACGGTTACTGGTTCCAACTTTCTGCACCAATGATCAATTTAAACCGACAGCCCTAGATTATAAAATACTTATATTACATATAAACACTCTATTACCAGGAGGTGCCTCTAGCCAGCTAAGTGATCGGCTATAACTGCTCATATCAAAGGTCAAATGGAGCATGCATCCAGTAAGAAGAATCTGCACTTTTGAAGCCGTAATAGGCAAAGGGTCAATGGGTTGCTTTAATTGAGGCGAGTAGTATTGTAATGAGTGGCTCTGACACGGTAAGTAACTTCAAGTATTTATTAGTAAATCTTCAGTACAGCCACTGTCTCTCTCCGTGGATGTCGACCCGCTCTCGTGGTTGCGCTGCCCCCCGCCACGTGGCGCTGACCCCAATTGCTAACACACCCCTGGCTGGCGGCGCGCAAGTGAGTGGCTAGAGGTTGTGCCGCCACGTGGCAGGTGGAGATGGCGGGGCAGCAGCGACGGGGAGCTCCTCTTCTATCTTCAAACACCGACCCCTAACGTTGCTGTACCCCCGGCTTATATTCACTCCCCGGAGGCTAAGCCCCGCCTCTGGCCACGCCCTCCTGGAATGTTTCGGGAACGTTCCAGAGGCTTCCCTGGTAGATCCGCCCATTCACCTTTACCCCAGATAGATTCCATACTATCGATAAACCGTGGGCTGTATGATGTGTAATGTAACCCCCACAATAATGCAGGAGATGGCTCTCTCTCATTACATCACCCCCCCCCGATGAAAAAATCTATCCGTCCCAGCTAAGGATTGATAAAGCGTAATACAGAGCGCCATCAGCATCTGGGCATAACATAACAAGAATGGAATAAGAAGAATACGGAATGCCCCAATAATTATCACATAAAAACAACAATGCGGAAGAGGAACTGTCTCCGCCACGCTGTGCGTTGCGTTGCACCACTATCCGAGTTGATAACTTCGCATTCAATAAACCTACAGAGCCAGGTTGAACATCCGACTCCAAACGTATCAAATGAATTGAATGAGGTAAAACTGATGGGAAAACAGCACAAATACAGCATCTGTTAATTCTTGGAAATATCAATACAATTAATGAACACTACAGCATCAATACATTGTCTTAGATAACATGGAACTCAACAATAGATCCTGGATGGACCAGGCACCCACATTAGTACTGAACAGCTATACAAGAGAATAAGCTACTGTGTTAAGTAAGGGCACATCGTGTTACCATCATACTGCAGCCTAAATGTACAGCACTACACAACACTGAACTGTGGATGAGATATTTCGTCATCCTTGCTCTCAAGATCGCAATAAGGTTACATGAGTACAAGTCTGACTCGACTTATTCAATTATAAGTAACATTCACAATGAGGCAAGTGGCATGCTTCGTTTTAACTAGGCCTCATAATAATTTAACAGCATTATAAAGGCATTTACAGCATTATAACGGCTATTCTAACATAACAGCATTCCCAGTAAAAGAACATGAACGAACTTACAGGCATTGCTTCTTAAAGTCCCACAATGAACAGTTGCACCTGTCTTGACTGGGATGCTATTTGTGCCACCATTTTGTACTCTGTGTAATGGATGATACCCTGCTGCGTGGCTGAGAGGATGTCAAATCATAACTTCCTGGTCACATGACCAAACTCAACATCCAAACAGGAAATTGCTGTGTACACACCCCCACACCTGCCTGAGGCAGAACAGGAACAGACACGCCAGTGAGAGGAGACTAAAGTCGTTCAAGAAAACCGCGACGTCTTGGAGCGTATCCACGTAGCCATCCCATCTGCCTGAGGTGGGATCAATACCGGAACACCGCCAGGTGGAAGCAGTGGTCCAGTAGAGGGCGATACAGCTGGATCCAGCGCAAGTGGGCATGGCGGGATTGCAGCGTCCGCTGGTCCCGCCGTCTCAAGGGCGCTGTGGGCAGTAAAGAAACAAATTTGGGGAGGATCACCTTGCACACGGGTGGCAGGCCGGTTGGACATGTCAGGCACCGGGTACCTGGGA